CAAAGTCGACCCCATTGGTCTCCACTACCCCATGTTCCTGAAAACCTCATGATAGTTGTCTAAATAATCCCGGGGATCCTCAGAAGACGCACCGCTGAAAGTGGTAGTAAAGAGCTTGGTGCACCTGTCCAATCTCCACAGGGCATCAGCAGACATAGCTGCTCCATCACCGGTCTGAGCTACCACTCTCGGCTAAACTGCTCCAACTGGCTGAGCTGCTGGAGTCTGAAACTGGGGAGCCATCTGCTCCGGAGTGCGGGTAGCAGGAGTCTGGGCTCCTCCTCAAGCCTGAGAGATGGCTGGTGCTACAGGAAGCAAGCTTGCCCCGGTAAAACTCTCCATAAGGCCCACTAGACGGACCAGAGCATCCTAAAGTACTGGGGTAGCAATGAACTCCTCTGGGACCTAAGCTAGTCCTGCTGGAACTGGGCCGGAACCTCCTAGTCAAACTCAACCTGAGGATCCGCCACTAGTGTTGCTGTTCTGCGCTGAGCTCTGCCCTGCCTCGGCCTCTAGTACGGCCTCGGCCTCGCCCTCTGCCCTTGTGGAAGCTGCTGCTGGGGGCTCGGGCTGCTGATCAGTGGATGAGGAAGCGCGTGTTCTCGGCATCTGCGAAAAAATAGAGTTGAAATTCAATTAGCATTGAGAAACCAAATCGCATGACAGGAAAGAATAGATGTGAAGTTTTTCCTATCTCCGTAGCCTCTGGGGGATAAATACAGACGTTCCCGTACCGATCCCTCAGACTCTGCTAAGCTTGTCCGTGAATTGTGAGACCTAAGTAACCTAGAGCTCTGATACCAAGTTGTCACGACCCGGATTTTCCACCCTCGGGAGTCGTGATGGAACCTACTCGTGAAAGCTAGGCAAGCCGAGTATTATAAATTCATTACCATTTTTATTAAGCATGTTCAACAATTCAAAGTAATAAGTGATTAAACAGCGGAATAAATTAACTAACCAGAAATGCGGAAGACGAAAACTTAATAGTTTAACCAAACATTGCTACATAATCTGAAGTACTATACTACCCAGAATTTGGTGTCAAAATTTCACAAACTGTCTAAGAGTACTACAAATAAAGGATCCTAAGAATAAATACAAACTGTCTCAGAAATACAAAGAAGAAACAACAGAGAAAGATAGAAGGAGACTCCAAGGCCTGCGGACGCCTGCAGGACTACCTCGGGTCGCCTAAATGGACTGAAGACAGCACCCTCACTGCGGTCCAAATGCTCCGGTATCAGTATCTACACACAGTGCAAAGTGGAGTATCAGCACAACCGACCCCATGTGCTAGTAAGTGCCTAGCCTAACCTCGGTGAAGTAGTAACGTGACTAGGACCAGACTTCCAAATAAACCTGTGCAGTTAAATCATATACACCGGAAAATAAAAGCAGATATTAACAGTTAAAGATAGGGAGGGGAAGGCATGCTACGGGGAGTATCAAATAACAACAAAATACCAAAGAGGAATGTAAAGAAACCATAATTTAGTTGCCAACAATAATGAAGAAAACAAAACAATATTCACTTTCATTTCTTGCTCGTTGCAGGAGTGCAACCCGCTCCAATTTCATATATCTCGCTGCAGGCATGCAATCCGCTCCCATTTCATATAGTACTGTTGCAGGCGTGCAGCCCGCCCATTTCATATGTTACCGTTGCAGTCGTGCAACCCGCTCCCATTTCATATATTACCGTTGCAGGCGTGCAACCCGCTCCCATTTCATATATCTCGTTGCAGGTATGCAACCCGCTCCCATTTCATATATTACTATTGCAGGCGTGCAACCCGCTCCCATTTCATATATTACCGTTGCAGTCGTGCAATCTGCTCCCATTTCATATTTCAACACCTTTCATATTTCAACACCAATCATAGAAGAATCCCGGCAAGGGAACAATAAGACAACAACAACATCCCGGCAAGGGAACAATAATATTACAACAACATCCCGGCAAGGGAACAATAATATAACAACAACATCCCGGCAAGGGAACAATAATATAACAACAACATCCTGGCAAGGGAACAATAATATAGCAACAACATATTAAGCATGAATAAACCACGACGGAGTCACAACAATTACAATACAAGACTCACGGGCATGCTTGACACTAACGTATAGATACTCGTCACCATGCCTATACATCGTACTCCACAATTAACACATAGAAAATAAGATACAACTCCTAATTCCTCAAGCCAAGGTTAGACCAAACACTTACCTCGATGCCACGAACACAATTAAAGCCTCAACTACCGCTTCACCTCTTGATTCCACCACCAATTCGCTCGCATCTAGGCGCAAGTTACTTAACTATATCAATAAATGCTAAATGAATCAACTCTAATGCATGAAAATAGATTTTCTAGAGTTTTTCCCAAAAAGTCAAAAATGAACTCCGGGCCCACATGGTCAAAACCCGAGGTTCGAACCAAAACCCGATTACCCATTCACCCAGGAACTCAAATATATAATTTATTTTGAAATCGGACCTCAAATAGATGTCCAAATCCCCAAAATTTGAAAAATCTAAGTTCTACCCAAAACACCCAATTTTCCCCATGAAAACCTTTGATTTTGAGTTGAAATCATGAGAAAAGATGCTAAAGATTAATAAAAAACGTAAGTTAAGAAATAGGCNTTTATAAAAGTCACTCAAGCATATTGGAGAAGCCAAGTAGACTACCAATACTGGTGTGCATTTAATATTTCGGGTAAACAGACCGACGGGACGTTTCAGTCACTTCAAGTGCCTACGTCACGGTAATGACATCATCATTATAGACTCCGAGGAATCGAGGTTCAAATCGTTTCTTATCATCTTACTCTACGGGGTTTATCTGTATACGGTCGAGATCGTATGCCTTCGATCTATAGGCTCGAGAGATCACCCAAAGCCCGAGTTCAGGTGAGATCAAGTTCGAGTTCGAGGGACCAGACCCAAGGTCGAGGGCAGAGCACGATGCATGCCGAGGCCGAGTATGCTCGACCCTGAAATAGTACCATTAAGGATTTGTAACCGATTGAGATAGATTCCTTCCACGTCCCCTAGATCATGGCGCAAATCCCGTAATAGGATAGTACGATTCCGTACTAGGTGGTTAGACAGTTGTATCAAGAATATTCCCTACTGTAAATAGAAATATACCTTATTTAGGATTCCCCTATTATATAAAGGGGACCCCAATACTTTACTTTTTTTACTTAATCGTTCTTATTGCTTTGAGCCTACCTCGAGGTCACTAAGCTCGAGGTCACCACTGCTGAGTAACATTGGTTTGATTCACTTATTCCTTTCATTTCTACTTCATATTTCTTGATTATTAATTGGTATTGAATCAAATAACATATCTTTAAAACAACAAATCAAATTTAATTGTTACTCGTATTTTCGAGGTAAACAACATTTAATTAATTTTTTCTTTATAATCGTATGTTGAATAAGCCACTTTACATGCATTTGGTAGCTCTACTTATTAAAACTTAAGCGTATAAGAACATTTATTTAACTTTTAGTTATATTCATTTTCCATGATTGTTATTCTAACGTCTGGTTTTGATAGAGATTCTGAGTTTGCGGATCTTCCAAGTGCTAGTTATGGCGGGATTCGAATATTGCCACTTGCCAGCTTGTTTGCCTACATCAGAAGGGTGTTTGAAGTTTTATTACATGCGATAAGTTAATAAGACTCAGAAATTATGTAATTGTTTTGTCTCATTAATTAGAGGTTGAACTTCTTTCCTAATACTGTATATACGTAATGGAAGCAAAAACCATAATGGCTAAGGCAATTAAATCATAACGACAAAGATGAGGGAGAAAGGGAATTATCGTTGGTAATTAATCACTGCAGCGGGTTGTTGTATATTATTGGCGATCATTTTCAGAATTATTTGCTTATTTCAACGAATCATTTGGACAATTCACACCACGTACCATCACCAGAAATTTAAGAAAATAATCCACCAAAGGCATAAAAGGAGAATTTAAGGACAAGTATTCTTTACCAACTTGCAGTCATAGGCGACATCACCTCACTACTTTAGTATTTATGCATTGAATACGTCCGTTTAATTAGGGATAATGTGAGATTAAGAAGAACACCTATATAGTATTAAAATGAAGTGGATCTGAATAGACTGGAATGAGTATTCTTCTAGCTAACGGATCACGCCCAACTCTAGTCCTAGAAAGGATAAGCGGTCGCTGCAAATATAACCTGGCTTATGAGTCTAGGGTCGAATCCCACAAAAAAATAAGGCTTAGCTACAATTGTTTAACATTACTAAGAAGACAAGTTCGAACAATTCTTAAGTTATAAATATAAAGATTCTTATGTCAAACTAATTAACTAAACACTTAAAGTAGTAAATTAATAACTAAAGATAATAAGGGTTGGCGACCAGATTAAGGAGGTCTAGAGTTATGATTTCCCCAATTATCAGCGTCTTCCCACTATGTCTCCTATAATATCGCCTAAGTATCCTCTACTGATCGTGAGCACTCGACATATCATAATTCTCACTCGAGCAACTACAATAATGTACTAGTCATATTCTCTCAAATTACGCTAGCTCGCACTTTTTCACCGCTCATTATGATCACGTCAAAGCTTCTTTATCTCTAATCCCTCTATTAAACCTGCCGTATTGATATCTCATATACGTTAGGAGTGATGTTGTTCAACAACCACCTAAATATGTACTTTTTTTCAAGCAATACATAATAAATATGCACCAGTAACTAAGACCTCTTCAATTAACTAAAATAAGCACGTACACTTTCAAGCTTTTCATTATCTTGAGAAAGAATAAGCATCATCTCACTACAACAACATTCAGGGAATCCACAACAAATTCCTCCCAAACCCCCTGACAAAATTACACCAACAATCACTACTACTCACTTTTACAAAGATAAATTGATTCAAGGGGAAATCTTCACTACTGCCTCCCAATCAATACCAAGGACCTCATCACCTACTATGGACATCCAATCTCCTGATTTGGAAGCCACTACTCCAGAGAATTTGTCCAATAACATGAAGCACATTATACTGACTGAGGATGATAGACAACGAATGTACAACCCTTGGAAGTACTCTCTCATCATCAAACTCATGGGTAAATGGCTAGTACCTAACTACTTAAAGAGGAAAACCCAAGAGCTTTGGAAGATAGATGAAAACATCCCACTAATAGATCTTGGGAAAGATTACTACACCGTCAAATTGGCTAAGGAGGAAAGCATGACTAGAATACTACATGATGGACCTTGGTTCATCAATGGGTTTTTCCCGTCAGTGCAAAAATGGGTGCCTAATTTTGTAGCCACTAAGGCATATCAAAGTTATACTGTCGTTTGGGTAAGATTACCACAACTCTCCACGGAATTTTATGATGGCATAATCCTAACAAAAATTGGAAACTACATTGGCAAACTACTTAAAGTGGATGCATGCACATCGGCCACGCCAAGAGGCATATATGCGAGGCTTTGGGTGGAATTACCACTGGAGCAGCCAGTGCAAAACCTTATAATGATTGGCCACCACAATCAACCTATACTTTATGAAGGGGAAGATTTTTTGTGCAAGGTCTGTGGAAGGCTGGGCCACTCGAGCACAATCTGCTCATATAGGACTACACCTATCAGACATAATGGGGGTCCATTACCATTGGAGACACCACAACCTAAGGATGAAATTACACAGGAGTGGATGGCAGTCTCTTTCCCCAGGAAAAATAAATCTAAAGCAGCCAATCAATCTACGGATAAGGCTAGTTCCTCAATCGCACCAGGTATTAAAGTTCGCATGTATGATGCCTTGTCAGGAAAGCATCTAAATACGTAGCCTTTGAGTTATGTTAATAAACAACTGCTCACTAACCCTAACGCAACGTGCCCTACTGTTCCAGTTGACCGATGTGATGAAGGAAAAACTATAGCCAATGAACTTGCTAGAAAATCACCCAATGGAAAGGAAGGTGGTTTTGCTAACCGCCCACTAGAGCACATTGTTTTGTTAAATACAATAAAAAAATTAAATCAAAACACCCCTAATTTGCATGGAAAGATGAAAGCTAATACTAAATGTGTCCAAAACGTGTCTCAACCTCCTAAGTGCAGTAATATCCAAAATCTTTTGTCCAACAAAATGGATTTGGACATAACACACCCATTAACCTATCGAATCGGCCAAGACATCATTAACTCTACTAAAAATAATCATCACTCTATTAATAACAACCACTCAAATAACGAAGGCCTCCCTACTTACATTCACCATGCAAAATTCATCCCCGGCGTCCAATCTTCCATGCAACACACGGACATAGAGTATAGACGAGTGGCGTAGGGCATATCCATGCCATATTTGGATATAACCCTCACTCAATCTCTCCCCATTCTTACACAAGTAGAGGAAATCATTGCAAATCCTACTCCCCTCTAGAAGTTAGCTCACTTATAATACACGATCATACCAACAATGCCAAGACCACCAATTACATTAAGAAGGAGATACCGGCTGATACAATTAATCCATCTCTCTCGGTACCAAATCATGAACAATTTGCCACCACTACCTCCTCACTTTCCCTCAAATCCTGTAATATACGCCAAATCCTCGAGTCCACCCAACCATGTACCACAATCATCGGTGGAAGTAGACCTTCAGGGGCATGCAGTCTCCTTCAACATTGAAATCAACGGTCAGGAGTCGATCATAATACTTCAAAACACACACTACCTCGCACAACTAATCTCCGAAGGGATGAGCCTAGCCATGAACAACTATGTCAACCAAATGAGGATGAACAATATTCTCCAACATCTAGCACCCTCCTTGAACCAGAATCTAGTACACACCATGCAACAAATGTGGAACCTACTCCACAACTCCAACCAACCCCTCCCACAGAATCCACCTCTCAACCTCCCCTTCTTTGCACCGGAGGACATGATGCTTCTAAACCCCATCTTCACATAGTGGACTCCCCAACACATGTAAGACCAACAACAAGGTCCACAACCAGACCCAATGGAAGACCAAGTCCCAGTTCAAAACATGCAAAACTAGGAAGGGCTACAAAAGGAAGAAGATGAGGAGGACAAGTTGCCTCACTTGGGGGAACCAGCAGTAGCTTTTTCAAACCTAAGCGAGGTAAAAATACTCATCTTCAAGGAGATGCTAGAAAGGAAGTCTATCTTCAGCTTCCCAGCGACACTTTACAAGTGCTCCTTGTACATTCGCCCCCACTGGACCCCACTGTGGGGAAGCATGTGGTGATACTGGTTCCCTCCATAGGGAGGAATCCGAATAACATCCCAAACAATAACTATCCCATGTATCAGCCAAACAAAATCATAATTTGGAATGTGAGAGGAGCAAATAATGCCAACTTTAGGAGACACTTTTGTGAGCTTATGGATACCCATAGAGCATGCTTAGTAGCTTTGTTGGAGACAAAAATGGAGAGTCGTGTTTTAAACCTGGAAGATTTTCACTTCACTGAGATGATAGAGGTTCTTGCCATTGGGCAAGCTGGAGGTTGGTAATCTTGTGGAATCATGATGTGGTGACGGTTAACAACTTTACTAGGAATGGCCAAGCAATTCATGCCATGATAGAGGTAAAATCCAAAAATCTTACTTGGTTATTTACTACTATTTATGCTAGCAATGATACAACTACTAGGCAATTGTTATGAGAAAACCTTAAATACACTTTTGATAAGTACAACGGACCTTGGTTAATCGGCGGTTAAACTTTAATGAAGTGGTAGACTCGGTGGATAAATTTGGGGGTAGGTTTATCAATCAAAAAAGAGCTAAGTCTCTAATAAACTGCCTCTACTATTGTAATTTAGTGGACCGTTTAAGGCTTGTAAATAAACATGGTCCAATCCTCGTAGGAAAAAAGGGGCCTAATCATGCAGAGATTAGATTGGGTATACTCCAATTGTGAATGGTTACAAGCATTTACAGATGTTACAGTAACGCACCTCCTAAAATTACACTCGGACCATAACCCTATCTTAGTTAACCTTAATAATAAAATCAACAATAACCATGCTAGGCCATTTAGACTCGAAACATTCTGGTGCTCACACCCAGACTTTCCTAGAGTTGTGTCTGATAGTTGGGTGAATAAGGATATAATTGGAGGGACAGAGTCTTTTCACAAAAAAGTATTATAATGGAAACAAATTACCTTTGGGAATATTTTTGCCAGGAAAAGAAGAATTTTAAAACGAATTAATGGTATACAAAACTCTCCTAACTACCAAACTAGTCAGTGCCTTAGAGACTTAGAGGTAACCCTTATTGAGGATTATGACTCCATCCTTAAATTAGATGAGGGCTACTGGAAATTACATTCTAAGGTTAATTGGTTGAACGAAGGGGATGCAAATAAATTCTTCCATATTCAAGCCACTAACCGTAGACGAAGAAATAATACTTTCTTTTTTAAAGACAACTTATGAAATTGGATAGAGGATCAAACCGCCCTAATACATTATGTAACCAATCACTTCCAGAATATTTTTACTACGTCTCATAATAACACTAACTGGTCAGCCATAAAATTGGACAAGACAACCTTCTCAAAAATTGACATGTCTAGCCTTGATAGCAAATTAAAAAAATCATGAGATTAGAAAAACAGTTTTCTCCTTTAAACCAAACAAGGCACCTGGACCTGATGGTCTACACCCCTTTTTCTTCAAGAAATTCTGGCCAATACTAGGCAGTAAGGTCATAAATCTTTGCCAAAAACTCTTTGAGACAAGGGTTATGCCTCATGAAGTTACATACTTATGCTTATCCCCAAACTCAGTAATGCAAATCAATTAAAAAAAATTAGGCCTATCAGCCTATGCAACACTTTGAACAAGGTTGTCGCCAAAGTCATTGCCAATCGCATCAAGCCCTTCCTAAAATATCTTATTAATAATCAACAAGCAAGATTTATTAAAGATAGGCGAGCTAGTGATAATGTTGTCATTATCCAAGAGGTGTTAAAACATTTTAACGCCCATAAAGGAAAGCAAAATGCATCCTAAAGCATGACCTGAAAAAGGCTTTTGACAAATGAGAGTGGTCTTATGTTTACAGAACTCTGAGATTTTTTAACTTTCCTCCTAATATATCTTCCCTAATCCTTAGCTGTATCACAACTAGTACTCTCCATATTAGTAAATGACAATAAAATTGAGGAATTTTCTCCCACAAGGGGCATTCGACAGGGCGACGCCATGTCTCCTTATCTTTTCATCTTATGCATGGACATGTTATCAAAAAATATCGAACACCAAGTGGATATTCAAATTTGGGACCCCATTAAGCTTAATTAAAGATGTCCACCCCTGTCACGCTTGTTCTTCGCGGACGACCTAACCTTAATGGGTCGAGCAAATACTAAAACTATCACAACAATGTGGAAAAGCATGGAGAGCTTTTGTTGCCTCTCTGGGCTAAATATCAACAAAGATAAATAAAAAATATTAGTGTCAAAGTCATGCACTGATGAGGAAATAACAATGGCCATGAACACGTTTGACATGAAAATTAGTAAATCCTTTGGTACTTACCTAGGTTTTCCCATGCTTCAACACCACCATGGGCATAAGGACTATCGACCCGTAATTGATAAAATGCGGGCAAAATTAAACAATTGGACTGATAAGTGGCTAAGTATGGCGGGAAGGTGCATTTTAATAGCATCCACTCTCAGCACAATACCAAATCACCTAATGCAATTATCCCTACTTCTAAGTAAAACACTAAAGAAAATTGACAAGATCCAAAGATACTTCCTATGGGGCACTACTAGAGAAAAGAAAAAACTTTACCTAATTGGGTGGAACATGGTTACTAACACAAAGGAAGTTGGGGGCCTAGGCATCAAGAAAGCAAAATCTAAAAATTTAGCCCTACGAGCTAGCCTTGCATGGAGAATTCTTAATAATCCGTCATCCCTCTGGGCTCATGTTCTCATTAGTTTATATGGGCATATTAGTAGAATTGGTGGTTGTTCTAATACCTGGAAAAACCTATTAAAAGGGTGGACTATTTGTAAACAATAAATTAGGTGGCCAGTCGATCAGCACTCGAACATGAATGTATGGGACACTAATTGAATCCCAAATTTCACCAACCTAAGAGATAATATTATTGGTCCTCTTACCTATAATGAGGATTGTTTAAAAATCAAAGATATTCTGGATAACAATTAATGGGACCTAACAAAAATCTCCTTTGAGCTACCTCAAAGTATTATTACAAACATCAACACATTAAGACCAACTTCTCATCCTACACATGCCAACAACCTCATTTGGAGTATAAACACTAGTGGACTATTCACCACCACTTCTTGTTATATATTAATCGATAAACAACTCTCCCTAAATGCTAATTTCAATTGGATCTGGGTGCCAAGTACCCGAGGAAAATCAAGTTCTTCCTATGGAAGTGGTACCATACACGTCTTCCCACTAGAGAATACCTTGGGATAATTGGTATTAATATCTACACTAGCTGCCCAATTTGCAAAGACACAAATGATTCCATAATCCACATCTTCTGGGAATGTACAGTTGCTCAATCCTTTTGGCAATCTTTGGGGGTGGCCAACACTCAAAAAAGGCACACTCAACACTGGGTAGATTTTCTTCGAACTAGGAACCCTAAAAAAACCAATAAATTTATCACATGGGAAGAAACTTTCCCCTTCGCATTATGGGCTATATGGCAGAAATGAAAACAATGTGAACTATACTAGCAAGCACATCAACACGAACAAAATTCTTAACCAAGCATTGGAATACCACCTTCTAACATCCCAGG